TTAAAAGAAATCTTCCCTAAAAAGATATTCAATGATTTACACAAATCATAGTTTTAAATTCCACATTGTTGAATTATTATAGAAATGTTGCTACAACCATTTTCTGAGAATTGTACAAGACATGGTAAATTCCAATTAAATTACTTTATTGTTCGACTTACGAATGTTTCATCTCATTGTATCTTGTTAATAGGTGTATTAATGACATAATGACAAAAAAATATATAATCCAATGAAAAAATATGAAACAAAATAGATTTAAAAAGTGAAGCTTTACAATGTTTACATCATAAAACTGAATAATACCACGTACTCTCGTTCATTGCTATTCTAATTATTTACAGATTATGTTCCAAACAGCTGTCCATGTGTAGGCCTATATGTTAACCCTTATAAACAATAAGTCATTAATTACACAATTAAAAACTGAAAAGGTTTCAAACAAACACATGCAACCAATTCAATTATTATCATTTAAAAAATCTGTTCGATATAAAAAAAACAACACAGAAATTCAATCCGTAAATTGATCCCGCTAACATGTTTAACCCCGCCACATTCTGTATGTATGAGCCTGTCCCAAATCAGGAGCCTGTAGTTCAGTGGTTGTCGTTTGTTGATGTGTTGCATATTTGTTTTTCGTTAATTTTTTGTACATTAATTAGGCCGTTAGTTTTCTCGTTTGAATTGTTTACATTTGCCATTTCGGGGCCTTTTATAGCTGACAATGCGGTATAGGCTTTTTTCATTGTTGAAGGCCGTACGGTGACCTATAGTTGTTAACTTCTGTTTCACTTGGTCTCTAGTGAAGAGTTGTCTCATTGGCAATCATACCACATCTTCTTTTTTATATTTGAACCGAAAATGACCATGTTTGCAATACTCTACGAGAAGAGTAAGTTTTTCCGACTGAATCACTCGTCAAAAAGGGTGGGAGTCATTTAAAAAACTGTGACTAAAATAAAGGTCCTTGTATAATTAGATACAAATATAACGAACAAACAAACCTCTTGCCTTCTTCGATGGGATATCCGGAAGTTTGATACACCGACGAGTATTATTTTTTAAAAAGCTTGTCTGACTCTAGTATGATATGTCTGCCAAAAAAAAATACGAATCCAAACACATTAATTCGTTGTCAGTTTTGAATTTGTAATACCAATTTCCAAAATAGAATTTAATATTCATTGTTACGAAATTGAAATAACATTTTATAAATCCGTGAGGAGCTAAATGACTGAGTGCATAACATTTGCGCGCATTCAGGAATTAAATTTGTTAACAATTGCGCATAAGATTAAATTACATTTGTGCGTCTTTATTTTATAAGTTACACATGTAGAATTATAATTTATCGTTGCATAAATTATAGTTATTGCGAATATTGAAGAGTGAACAGGTTTTATGTTTCCTCGTTGAAGATGAGGGTAACTACATAAGAGATCTATATTCTAATTAGATTGCACTTTTGTATAAACCTGCAGGTGACTTAATGTGGAGAGACAATCATATACTGAGCATCTTAACTTGTCATTTGTTCCTAATTTGATTAATCGGTATTAACTGTTTCTTATTTTTTTTTCAATTTGCCAACGTTAAAGCCAAACTAAGAAGTGTTAATTGTTTCTAAGAAAAGCACTTGCTTAAAAGTTTATATAGTCTTAAATGTATACCATCCATAATGTATACACATTTACTTAAAATTAAAATATTCGACGGATAATTGACGGATAATTAACTGTAAATCACTGCAAATCAACCTATTGGTTTTGTGAAATAGCAAAGAATCAACAAAAAAAATCATTTGTTTGTCCTTGAAGGCTCACATAGACTGTTAGTAATGCTTGAATCAAATAAAACAAATTTAACCTTATTTGAAATCAATCATTGTCCTATTCCATGTATCATATTTGTTAACGGACAATACAATAAACGTAATGAGAGACAATAATAACTTAATGGATGCTGATATCAGCACCTTTTATAGGATAAGTACCACATAAGGTATAGTGTCCGGCTAAGAGCATGGTTTTTCGAGTGATTTGATCGAGTTTTTTCGAGTGTGACCAATTTTTTTTCGAGTGAATATGATAAAAAATGAAAACAAACAGACTGCCTTTCTGACAAGACGTGATATAGAAGCTTGAGTTTAATATACAAGGTTATACAAGGTATGTTAGTATTTGAAATAAAAAGATATTATCAATCAGACATTATTTTTCGTTAAATAAGTTAAATTTAGCCTTAAAGTGCTTTATTCCAAAATACAGAATAAAGCCATTTTTATACACATACCAATGCAAATGTCGAAGGAAATGCATAGGCGGAATCTATATAACCTTAGATATACATACACTTTACAAAAACTCTTGTTCTTAGATATAAGAAGATGTGGTATGAGTGCCAATGAGACAACTCTCCATCCAAGTCACAATATGCAAAAGTAAACCATTATAGGTCAAAGTACGGTCTTTAACACGGAGCCTTGGCTCACACCGAACAGCAAGCTATAAAGGGCCCCAAAAATGACTAGTGTAAAACCATTCAAACAGGAAAACCAACGGTCTAATCTATATAAAAAATCGAGAAACGAGAAACACATATGAACCACATCAACAAACGACAACCACTGAACATCAGGTTCCTGACTTAGGACAGGTGCAAAAAAATGCTGCAGGTTTAAACGTTTTAATAGGTACCAACCTTCACCCTTACCTGAAACAATAGTGTAACATCACACCATAGAAAGAGTGCATTGAAAACGACATTTTGAGACTAATCATTTCTATATGTCCTGGTTTTTTTCCAGAGCAGTCCAGGTTTTTTCGAGTGCGTCCGTGTTTTATCGAGTGATTATACAAATTTCCTAAAGCTTAAAATGTTACGTGTCAGTGTATTTACGTTCAAATAAACAATAAAAAAGGTTCAAATTAAGTATTTTTTTAGGCACGAAACCAATGCATTCATCAGTTTGATAATGGTGTACTAACACTTACATTTTATAAACGAGTATCGTTCATTTGTATATATTGTTGTTTGTCACATCTTATAAATTACATGTACAGTATATATTCGTGATATCAACAATCTAATGTAAGCATAGACAATTTGGATTGGGACGTACATACATATAGTGTGTTAAGCTGATGAACTATTCATTTCATCATTAATTATATATGAAATTTAATTCAAATTTTATTGTCAATGGGAATAAAAATAGGACGGATTAAGCGTGTGTGTGTTTTTTTTTATTAATGGATTTTTTTGTGGGGGCGGGGGCAGGCCTCTTTTAGGAGAATATTTTTTATTACATAGCATTTTTCTGATTCTTCACTGCTGTTCAGTAGGGTTCTTACTCCTTTTTTTTGAACTCCGGGGTTCACCACAAAAAATATTATTAACTGTAAAAACAAAAGTAGCATGAAATGAAGTTGAAAAGATTACGAGTCCCCTGCACTATGTTCTAAAGACCGTTTTATAAAGGATCCAGTAATTTCTAATTTAACAAGATGAAAAGTTGTGGTAGAACGTTTTCCGAACAGAAAATTTGCATTAAATTGAAAAAAGGTAAATTTTGATCATCGTAGTAATATGTTTCGGTAATTTGTTGGGAATATATGATATTGTCCTTCACTTAATTACAGTTATAAACTAGAAAAGTCATTTTTAAAAGTCAAGAATACCTTTTTTCTCATTAAAATTTTCTTTAAAAAAGCCTGGACCATTTGTTGAAAAACCCGGACGGTTTAACAGATGCTATAAAAAAAACCCGGACAATATCAAACACTGAATTATTTTGGTTAAATACAAGGAAATTGTGCTTCTTATTTGCTCAAAACATGTAAAGTATTCATAATAAGATGGGTAGTCATGTAAAAAACTATTATAATTACAAAATAGCAATTAATTGACCTGATCGCATGTTTTATCACTCGAAAAAACCCGATATACACTCGAAAAAAGTGGACCGATTCACTCGAAAAACCACGATCCTAGCCGGACACTATACCTACCGTGAATATCTCAACATAAAAATATAACTTTCTAAATTTGTTTCCTCTACAGGTGAAAAAAGATTTTTCTAGTGTTCCAATCATTTTACCTAGATATCTATATTTCAAAAACTTATGCTACTTTCATTCCATTAAGACAGACAATTATTAGAGATTTTTTATATCAATGGAAAGCTGTCAGTGATGTACACAGATGTAGTATTATCGACACACAGAAAAGAACTCCACTCAAACTGTATGGACCAGTGCTAAGGTCTTCTTGAAATTACAACAAGGCGTAAACTTTAAATCCGCATTAAAAAATGAAAGCAACACTTTCTAAATTTCATTCGTCCGAAGCGCTTTTCTGGATTTACCTTCACCAGGAACCCCCAAAGCCGAATATTTGAAAGTCAAGGATGTATAAGGACCGAAACAGTTGAAGAGCTATATGATCAAAAAGGACCCAAGAATAATTAAAGGCGTCATTGTGACTTTGAGATAAAGAACATCAATAAAAGCAAAGTTCCTTTGTTTCGAGTTTCGATAAGTGCAGCTTAGCATTTTCTGTCAAATCTCATGATTTAATATAACACATCCTTCTTAGTTTCAACAAGTCCATGTACCTAAGATCAACTTTGCCAGTGAGAAGTAGTGACAACTTCAAAACAGCAATTTCAAAATGTACCTTCAATATGAATTTTTAACGTCAGTTTAAGCAGTGTCATGTTAAACTTACAAAATATTCAGCCTTTGGTTTGAAAACAAGTTATTTTCTTAAAAAATAAAGATAATAATTATCATCATTTCCTTACAAAACAAATCGAATCCTTATAATCCTTATGATTCCTAGTATACATATAGTAATTTACTCGTTTGTTTTGTATTTCAATGTACGTTTTACGTCAGAACCATGCAGAGAGGTGAACAGAACAGAAAAACGTTCTTCTTCAATGTGTCTAAGACTAATATACATATTTAATTACATCAAACATTAAATGTTCTCAAAATTTAAATTTATTATATCCTCTCTCAAGCTGACGAAACATTGAAAATTAAAAGTGTTGCATTGCCGCTGGAGACAATCAACCTTTTTTCATCTTTGTCAAAGAATATTGCTGATGGTCCTTGTAGACCGTCCGACCCCGTCAGGATTTCTCTATGATGTTTACCATCACTTGACAGGACTACAACGTTACACGATGACTCTCCAGTTATATACAGGTTCCCATTATTGTCAAATGTAGCACCACGTGGCTGCCTCAGGACACTTTTATAATTGAATTCCCAAAGCGTTTCTCCTGAATGATTGGTACATATGACAGAGCTTTTATCGTTCGAATAATATATTTTGTCTTCAGATGTCATTACGAATGATTCGAGAGGAAAATCCCCTTTAATAAAGGTTGATATTTTATAATCGTATTTATTAATTTGATATATACCCATGTTCACTACAACACAGAGTATTTTTTCATCACTACTTGCTATGTTGTAAGGTTTTCCCGGTAGTTCGATAAACATCACTAATATCCTGGAGGCAAATGTATAATGTTGATTCCATGAAGAATATCATATTTACCTGAAGTGACAGCAACATTGTGATTGTCGTCGAGAAATGTAACATCGTATGAGTCACCGATTTCAATTGGAATAGTGACTAGGCAGGACCCATGAAAATCCATTAGGCTTAGTTTTCTCTGTGAGTGAAGTGTTAAAAGCAAGTGATTCTCTGTTGTGACACAGCAACCACGTATGGTACCGCCATTGGATGTCATTGTTTGTACTTGGTTCAATGTTATATCTTGAATAGATTGTTGTTTCTGTACTGCTAACAGTTGTGCTTGTTTATTTTTCCTCTTTCTAAGCGACAATCTCTCTTGTTTGGTTAGAATCTCTACAGATCCGAATACTTTTAGTTCAGACAAGCAGTTCCCTATATTTGTATCAACTGCCGATTTTATTACCCTTTGCTGTAAAAGATCATCGTCAAGTAATGACTGCATACTTTTTTCGTTTTCTGATATTCTAGTTTGCATTTCTTTCATGCCAAGAAAAGTCTGGAGATCTGACGCGTAACTTTGAATATCATTTAGGTCTGCTATATTCTTAGATATCTTCTGCTCAGTTTCGTGAACTAATACTATAGTCTTTCTGATCTTCTCAGTAGTTTTTCTGACTGTTTCTTCAATCTCAATTTTTAACTTTTCTTCTAGCTTGTCAAGGTGATTATTGACTAATAATCTCATTTGACGGATCTCTTCCAGTTGTTTCTCCTTTTCTGTTTCGATGTCTGATATGTTGTGTCGGTCATTTTTAATTTCTCTAATATTTTCGAGCATGTCAGTCATAATTTGTTCCAAGTCCTTGTACATTTCGGACGTTTTAATATCTTTCAGCATATCATCTAGCGGAACAGCGCCACATTTCCCATGACATTTTATACACTTGTAGCAAATACAGATTTCGTGAGATGGACAATACAGCTGGTAATTTTCGTTATGTTCTTGACAACTCTGACGAAGTTCAGATATAAAGGGAGGTAATTTCTTGTAATCTTCAATTGGTATTAGCTTATGATTACGTAATATTTTGGCAATGCCGTGATGCTCCTTACATTCTGAACAAAGACACTGTTCACATTCAGGACACCAACTAGTTGACATATTTGAAAGATGTCTCAATTCGCAGATATTACAGAAAGTGGAATTGGTAGCCATGTTGCTGTCTCTGAAATATAGAAAACTAAAATAGTTAACATATAATACAAGGAGCTATATTAGAATCATAATTAGAAATGGCTTACCAAGTTATGAAACGAAAAGCGAAATTTTACTTTTTAGGTGATGAATTTGCCTAAAGTTTACACTTATAAATCCACTCTTTACGGACGTGGATGGCAATGGAATAATGCTATGTATTCATCTTCAAAATAATGATATGTTCATGCTTATATGGTACAATCGGCATTACGACCAAATGGTCTGTTAATTCAATGTTTTCTATTCTTTTAAAGTTCTCAGCACGCAAGCACGGGACACATTTTTTAAATTTTAATATATATATATATATATATATATACAAGTCTAAATTGAAAACAACGTTCAAACCTATGATTGCGTTGGATAAAAACCGCAATTTTTATACGTGTGCATGCAAAACAAATTTCTTGTTAGAGGGGTCTATATATATATATGCAATCATAGGTTTGAACGTTGTTTTCAATTTAGACTTGTATATATATATATATATATAAACAAGTCTAAATTGAAAACAACGTTCAAACCTATGATTGCGTTGGATAAAAACCGCAATTTTTATACGTGTGCATGTAAAACAATTTCGTGGTAGAGGGGTCTAAATACAGCACAAACAACAATTTCCAAAAGACCAAAAAGAGTGAAAAAGTATATTTTAACAAAACGCATTTGACTAACAGGTCGAACAACTGATGTTCTTAAACCCTGCTGACTGCCATTGACGATTGCCAAATAAATTGATCACAAGATTTAACAAAATGGATCTTAATATTAATTTAATACCAAACAGAAAACAATAAACTTGCGGGAAAGATGGTATACCACAAACATGAGGTGCAAAAATTTGTACACCATATCCGGATTTCGACAATTAATGTTTCTTCAGTGATGTTAGGGATCGAAACGGTATTTGGAAGGCCATGTAATTTACCTCAATTTAGGATAGACTCTTGAATTTTAAAGAGTCGAAATAGGATGAACGGATCATATAAACCCGAGGGAAAATATAATACAAGCCCAAACGAAAAAATATAAACAAGTCTAAATTGAAAACAACGTTCAAACCTATGATTGCGTTGGATAAAAACCGCAATATATATATATATGTTGTTTGTGCTGTATTTAGACCCTCTACAACGAAATTTGTTACATGCACACGTATCAAAATTGCGGTTTTTATCCAACGCAATCATAGGTTTGAACGTTGTTTTCAATTTAGACTTGTTTATGTTTATTTCGTTTGGGCTTGTATTATATTTTCCCTCCGGTTTATATAATCCGTTCATCCTATTTTGACTCTTTAAAAATCAAGAGTCTATCCTAAATTGAGGTAAATTAAATGGCCTTCCAAATACTTTTCGATCCCTTACATCACTGAAGAGACATTAGTTGTCGAAATCCGGATATGGTGTAAAAAAAAAAAAATAAAAAAAATAAATAAATAAGTTTAGCACCTCATGTTGTGGTTTATCATCTTTGCCGCAAGCTTATTGTTTTCTACTTGGTTATAAAATTAATATAGAGATCCATTTTGTTACACCTTGTGATCAATTTATTTGGCAATCGTCAATGGCAGTCAGCAGGGTTTAAGAACATCAGTTGTTCGACCTGTTAGTCAAATGTGTTTTGTTAAAATTTATTTTTTCACTCTTTTGGTCTTTTGGAAAATGTTGTTTGTGTTGTATTTAGACCCTCTACAACGAAATTTGTTACATGCACACGTATAAAAATTGCGGTTTTTATCCAACGCAATCATAGGTTTGAACGTTGTTTTCAATTTAGACTTGTTTATATTTATTTCGTTTGGGCTTGTATTATATTTTCCCTCCGGTTTATATAATCCGTTCATCCTATTTTGACTCTTTAAAATTCAAGAGTCTATCCTTAATTGAGGTAAATTTAAATGGCCTTCCAAATACTTTTCGATCCCTAACATCACTGAAGAGACATTAGTTGTCGAAATCCGGATATGGTGTAAAAAAAAAAACATTTAGCACCTCATGTTGTGGTTTATCATCTTTGCCGCAAGCTTATTGTTTTCGACTTGGTTATAAAATTAATATAGAGATCCATTTTGTTACACCTTGTGATCAATTTATTTGGCAATCGTCAATGGCAGTCAGCAGGGTTTAAGAACATCAGTTGTTCGACCTGTTAGTCAAATGCGTTTTGTTAAAATATATTTTTTCACTCTTTTTGGTCTTTTGGAAAATGTTGTTTGTGTTGTATTTAGACCCTCTACAACGAAATTTGTTACATGCACACGTATAAAAATTGCGGTTTTTATCCAACGCAATCATGGATTTGAACGTTGTTTTCAATTTAGACTTGTTTATATTTATTTCGTTTGGGCTTGTATTATTTTATATTTTCCCTCCGGTTTATATAATCCGTTCATCCTATTTTGACTCTTTAAAATTCAAGAGTCTATCCTAAATTGAGGTAAATTAAATGGCCTTCCAAATACTTTTCGATCCCTAACATCACTGAAGAGACATTAGTTGTCGAAATCCGGATATGGTGTAAGAAAAAAAATAAATAAAAAAAATGAATAAATAAATTTAGCACCTCATGTTGTGGTTTATCATCTTTGCCGCAAGCTTATTGTTTTCTACTTGGTTATAAAATTAATATAGAGATCCATTTTGTTACACCTTGTGATCAATTTATTTGGCAATCGTCAATTGCAGTCAGCAGGGTTTAAGAACATCAGTTGTTCGACCTGTTAGTCAAATGCGTTTTGTTAAAATATATTTTTTTTTCACTCTTTTGGTCTTTTGGAAAATGTTGTTTGTGCTGTATTTAGACCCTCTACAACGAAATTTGTTACATGCACACGTATAAAAATTGCGGTTTTTATCCAACGCAATCATAGGTTTGAACGTTGTTTTCAATTTAGACTTGTTTATATATATATACAACTCGTCTAAACATCAGCCCAACAATGTTAGATCTGTAAATTTGCTTTCGCAAATATATATATATACAGTTGTGCTTTTAAGGCTTGAATCTGAACTTTTGACAGCAGTTGGTGACTATATTAAGCAATATTTGGAGTTGCCAAAATGAGATCCATGTCCATCAAAAGTTACATTATTATAACTATGTTTTTGTTTTATGTTTATACTTGTAATTCTTGACTGTTGTATTAATACTGTGTTATATTTTGTGTTTTTGCTTGACCCATATGGGTGTAATTTGCAAAATAAAATTATTATTATTATTATATATAAATAAAATTTAACTAAGATGTGTCTGACATTTACTTTATAAATTATAATTTGAGAATATGTCACCCATACCCTTTGCTAGCTTGCGTTTTTTTCCGAAAGAGTATATTTTTAAGTACAGATTAAATTTTACGAAAATAAAATTAGATAGAATATTGTCATAGAAATTATAATATTGATATTTCAAGTAGAAATCAAAATATATCAGAAATTCCAGGAAGATTCATGAGAAGCTTGATGTGCATGTAGCAGGGCAAGCATAAATAATCAAAAAGCAATGACAGAAAAATCTCAAAAATTCGAAGTTATCAGATCGTAAAAGGTGCCCAAATGACGTGTCATATAATTTAACACTACTCTCTGTTAAGTGGGTCTCATTTGGGTCTAAGCGTGACGCGGGATTGCCGATTTTTTGTAAGCGTGACACGTGAAAGTCAAATTATTGTGCCGTGAAAACGGGAAATGAAGTCTTGATGTGCATGTAGCAGGGCAAGCATAAAGAATCAAAAAGCAATGACAGAAAAATCTCAAAATTCGAAGTTATCAGATCGTAAAAGGTGCTCAAATGACGTGTCATGTAATTTAACACTGCTCTCTGTTAAGTGGGTCTCATTGGGGTCTAAGCGTGACGCGGGATTGTCGATTTTTTGTAAGCGTGACACGTGAAAGTCAAATTATTGTGCCGTGAAAACGGCAAATGAAGTCTAGCAGGATACGGGAAATTACAAAAAAAAAAATGAGAATTGCTTACGTACATAGTGTAAGCGGGATCCGGGATCAGAACCCCCCAATGAGACCCCCTGTTAGTTCATTTATTGAGTATGTCAATAAAGACAGAGACATATATAAAGTACTTGAATCGTCGCATGTACAATCTTCGAAATCTTAGTGTCTTTTTTATCATTCTCATATATCCTCGTTTTCCCCCACACAACTCATTGTAAAGAATATAGGTATTACAGGGCATCAGAATTTTAAAAAGTTCGACAAAATATGTGTTGTTCTTTATAAATGTAACTTCAATCTTTTATCTCTTAATAACTGTTGATTATAAACCAAAGGAAAGTCCCGTCCGCGATTTATATGAATTTATAATAGCTGCAGAGTGAAGTTGGAAACCTCGGTCATTACAAATGTTTTTGGTGAAGAACATCAACAAGTAATTTTGAGACACAATTTAGCATGTCATGTTAGGGAACCTTTACTACCAAGGCGATTTTGATACATAGATGTATCACCTAAAATGGGTTTTTGACAATTTTGTCTTAAAAGCTATCTTATCAGACCGGCAAATATGCATTAAAAGCTTGGTTTAACTGCACAGACCTCCAATACCATTGGCCTATAAAAGAAACTGTTTCCAAAATAGAAGAAGGTGTGTGGTATACGTAAATGACTGCAACCTGCTTATTTATCAAAAATAGGTTAACAATGATGTTCAAAATTCATTGTACTACAGTTTGCGATCAGTTTCTTACTCGGTTTCTTCAAACGATCTATTTACCAAGACCAAATTCATATAAAATAAGGAGATGTGGTATGATTGCCAATGAGACTATACACCATAGTTCAAATCACGTGGATAAAAGCATTATAGGTAACCGTACGGCGTTCAACAATGAGAAACATAATTAAATAAATAAACAATATAAGCAACACACATGATACAGTATATAAGAACAAACTCTAAAAATCAGTTGCAAATGGCTTAACTCATTAGATCGGTACGAGCACAAATCAACTAACAAAAAAAAAAACAATTGACACAAAGCACTGATCTAAGAGTACTCCAAGTTACTGAAAGCTAGTTCAAAGCCAATTACAACTAATGAATAAATGATGTTATCCAGGCTTAAGTATCAATCAGAACATAACCAAAGGATTTAGTGAAAAGATGTCATTAACAGTTGAGAATCAAATGACCTTGTGCAATGCTAAAATATAAGAAAACAGTATATCGACAGGATGTAGGATTATGAGCTTACACATGTACATTATATACCGGCTCGGTGGTCTCTTGGTAGGGTGTTCGCCTTGAGTGCGGGAGGTCGTGGGTTCGAACCCCGGCCGGGTCAAACCAAAGACTTTAAAATTGGTATTTGCTGCTTCTCCGCTAAGCACGCGGCATTAAGGAGTAAGAGCAAAGACTGGATGGCTCGGAGTCAGAATAATGTGTCCGGGTAAGGTGACATGTCTTCCTGCGGACTGTTATCCTGTGAACTAGCACGTTAAAAATTCGGCTCAGCATGTCGGTCTAGTACAAAGCAGGGTAAATATTCATATTACATTAACATGTTCTCGTCCTGAATATGCATTTTAATTTGCCGCTGGACGTTAAGCAGCCATCCATCATCATCATCATGTACATTATATGATCTTATATAGCAATTATAGTCAAGTTTCAGTATAAGTTATCTTCCCAATCAAGACCTACAATGGTTTACAAATCACAGTTAAAAATTCCACCATGTGGAATTATTACAGAAGCATTGTTTCAACCATTTTCTGAGAAATATTATGCAAGACATGATAAAATCAAATTTAATTACTTCGGATTGTTTCATTGTTGTAGCTTATTTTGTTGTATTAATGACAGAAAAAATATACAAATCCAATAAAAAAAATATGAAACAAAATAGATTTAAAAACTGTCTGGTAACACGTACCCTTGTTTATTGCTATGCTTCTTATTTACACAATTATGTTCCAAACGGCGGTCCATACGTAGGCCTATATATTAACCCTTAGAAACAGTTTGTCATAATAAAAACACGACAAAGGTCACAAGTGTCAAAGGTTCAACCAACCACTCCAATGCTTATTTTTTCTAAATCTATTCGAAGTAGAAAACCAGAATTCGATTCATATAATCAAACTGAACTTTGAACCGAAAATAATCATGCTTGCATCAGTTGTCGAAAGAATGGATTGGGTCATTTTATGAAATCCTGTAACTTAAAAATAAGGACCCTTGTACAATTAGATCAAAGTATTCCAAAAAAACAAACCTCCCGTCGTCTTGCCTTCTTATTGGGATATCCGGAAGTTCGATACACCTAAATTGAAAACAACGTTCAAACCTATGATTGCGTTGGATAAAAACCGCAATTTTTATACGTGTGCATGCAAAACAAATTTCTTGTTAGAGGGGTCTAAATACAGCACAAACAACATTTTCCAAAAGACCAAAAAATAGAAAAAGCATATTTTAACAAAACGCATTTGACTAGCAGGTCAAACAACAAATGTTCTTAAACCCTGCCGACTGCCATTAGTGATTGCCAAATAAACGGATCACCAGGTGTAATAAATGGATCTTTTTTATAAATTAATACCAAATAGAAAACAATAAACTTGCGGCAAAGATGGTATACCGCAAACAAAAGGTGCAAAGATTTTTGTACACCATATCCGGATTTCGACAATTAATGTCTCTTCAGTGATGTTAGGAATCGAAACTGTATTTGGAAGGCCATATAATTTACCTCAATTTAGGATAGACTCTTGAATTTTGAGGAGTCAAAAAAGGATGAACGGATCATATAAACCCGAAGGAAAATATAATAAAAGTCCAAACGAAAAAATATAAACAAGTCTAAATTGAAAACAACGTTCAAACCTATGATTGCGTTGGATAAAAACCGCAATTTTTATACGTGTGCATGCAAAACAAATTTCTTGTTAGAGGGGTCTAAATACAGCACAAACAACATTTTCCAAAAGACCAAAAAAGTGAAAAAGTATATTTTAACAAAACGCATTTGACTAGCAGGTCGAACAACAAATGTTCTTGAACCCTGCCGACTGCCATTGGCGATTGCCAAATAAACGGATTACCAGGTGTAATAAATGGATCTTATTTATAAATTAATACCAAACAGAAAACAATAAACTTGTGGCAAAGATGGTATACCGCAAACAAAAGGTGCAAAGATTTTTGTACACCATATCCGGATTTCGACAATTAATGTCTCTTCAGTGATGTTAGGAATCGAAACGGTATTTGGAAGGCCATATAATTTACCTCAATTTATGATAAACTCTTGAATTTTGAGGAGTCAAAATAGGATGAACGGATCACATAAACCTGAAGGAAAATATTATAAAAGCCCAAACGAAAAAATATAAACAAGTCTAAATTGAAAACAACGTTCAAACCTATGATTGCGTTGGATAAAAACCGCAATTTTTATTCGTGTGTATGCAAAACAAATTTCTTGTTAGAGGGGTCTAAATACAGCACAAACAACATTTTCCAAAAGACCAAAAAAGTTAAAAAGTATATATATATATTCGAAACTATATTAAAAAAGGGAGATGAAAGATACCAAGGGGACATTTAAAATCATAAGTCTGCAATAAACTGACAAAACCATGACAAAAAACGAAAAAGACCAAAAGACGAACATCAGTATACGAAACACAACATAGAAATGAAAGACAGAGCAACACGAACCCCACCAAAAGCCGGGGTGATCTCAGGTGCTCAGACCCCACAAAACTAAGCACTTTTGTCAATCTGATTAAGAGATTGGATCTATCGTATATCGCTTTCTCGTCGGAGATGAGGATAACAAAATCAGAGATCTATATTTTAATTAGATTGCACTATTGTGTAAGCCTGTAGATGACTTAATGTGGAGAAACAATCATATACTGAGGACATCTAACTTCACATTTACCTGTCATTTGTTCCTTATTTGATTATTACTGGTTTTTGTTTTAAATTTGCCAACATTAAAGCAAAACGAAGAACTCGTCGGAGAGCAGGATAACTAAATCAGAGATCTATATTTTAATTAGATTTCAAAACTAGGAACTGATAATTATTTTTAAGAAAAGCATTTGCTTAAAAGTTTTGATATATTCTTAAATATGTACTATCCATATTGTACAAGTCTAAATTGAAAACAACGTTCAAACCTATGATTGCGATAAATACCGCAATTTTTATACGTGTGCATGTAAAACAAATTTCTTGGTAGAGGGGTCTAAATACAGCACAAACAACATTTTCCAAAAGACAAAAAAAGTGAAAAAGTATATTTTAACAAAACGCATATGACTGTCCATATTGTATACACATTAAATTATCAATAAAGTAAAAGTGTTCGACGGATGATTAACTGCAAATAACTGCAAATCAATCAATTGATACGCTATTTTGTAAAATAGCAATCAATCAACAAAAAACCGCATTAGTTGATCATTGTAGACTTATATAGACTGTTGGAAAAGAGGGCGAAAGATACCAAACGGACATTCAAACTCATAAGTCGAAAATAAACTGACAACTATGGTAAAAAAAAGAAAAAAGACCAACAGACAAACAACATTACATTAAACACAACATAGAAGCTAAAGACTGAGCAACACGAACCATACCAAAAACTGGGGGTGATCTCAGGTGCTCCGGAAGGGTAAGCATATCCTGCCCCACATGTGGCACCCGTCGTGTTGCTCATGTTAGTACAAACCCGGTGATAAGTCTAATTCGGTTGGTCACATTCAGGGAAAAGGGGACGGGAAGAGTTATGACAATTGGAACATATCCGTTGTCATCTGTGAAACGGATATTCCTTAACGGTCAACCAACTCGTGATGGCGTCCGTAAAATTTACGAAGGGATGATTTCAACTTCACCACTTGGAACTCTTGGTTTAGTAGCTTTCTTGTGAGCAGCAACCCTCTATCAAGGAAATCATGATAAGAAATCGTATCAACTGGGAGATATATACTCCGTATGCGGGCGCTGCTGAAATGTTGCTACATAGAAATGAAAAGTTCACAATTGAGAAGCTGAAATCATCTTTTTTGTCGTAAAGTTAAGTTTTCAACCGACCCTCATTGTCAATTTCTAGATGTAAGTCAAGATATGAGGCAGACTTAACTGTATCTGTAGTATCCTTTATCTCAAGTTCGATGGTAAAGTTGCGTTTAAAATAGTCACCAAATTTTGAATTATTTAGTGAGAGAACATCATCTTTTTAGCGGAAAGTGAAGTTGAAGGATACTGTTAACTTCTTTTCTTTCTTCCTAAGAAGTTCCTGTATGAAGTCAACCTTATATGAATAAAAGAAAAGTCGGCAAGAAGAGGAGCACAGTTGGTTCCTATTGGAATGCCGATTGTTTGTTGAAAAACACGTCCTTCAAACGTAACAAATATATTATCGATCAAGAAATCAAGCATCTTGATAATGTCGGTTTCAGAGAATTTTTTGTTTGAATCAGAGTGATTTGTTTACAAAGTACGATTTATCCCTCCCTAAGACAAGATGCTTGTATCCACATTGGCCATTGTTTTTTTGAAACAAAGAAGGAGCAACTCTTTCAATTTGTCTTTTAGTTTTGAATGGGGGATACTTGTGTAAAGTGTAGAAAAGTCAAATGTTTTAATACTATTGCAAGATGAAAAAGTCTTAGACTGTATGTATTCTAAAGGATCTTTGGATTTTTTTAGTATCCACATCTGATTCACTTCATCTGTAGAATATGTAGTTTCACAATAACTTTGAAGCCCAGCTTTGATTGCTGATAAATTAAAATTGATGTTAATAATTTAGAAAGAGTTTTCGTGGAGCACTCGGAAGACCCAGCAATATAACTTTGTTTGTAAAGACACTTATGTAGTTAAGGTATCCAATACAGTGAAAGAAAATCCAGTTCTTCATCTTTGGTTGAAATTCCAAAAGGAACATAGAACAGACCTATGATTATCCAGGATTTCCTCCTTTGTCAGTATCGTGGGGTTATATGTTGAGTTTTCAAGTGAATTTTCAATACCCAATTCATTTATTAAGTAGTTTATGTAATGTGATTTACACACAAAAACGATGTTGTTTGGAGCTTTATCTGCGGGACCAACAACATATTTGTCATGGAGGTAGGACAGGTGTTTTGCCACATTGGGGTCTTTAAAGATTGATGTAGCATGGGCATTCATAGACCCATTCAGTTTTTCAGAAATGATTAAATCAAATAAAACAATTTTAACATTATTTGAAATCAACCATTGGCCCATTTCATGTACAATATTTGTGAACGGCTTATACATAAACATGTAATGAGAGACTCAAATAACTTTAAATCAGAACTTTTTAAAGGTTAAATATTTCCACATTTTAACATAACTTTATATACTTTTTTCTACCTTTAATGGAAAAAAGGGATTTTTTTTTAGTGTTGCAATCATTTATACCTAGATATTTTTATTTCAAAAACTAATGCTACTTTCATTCCATTAAGACAGAAGCTATTTTATTGTCTCGCCTGCGACCTACGCCTACGATATGGAATACAACCCGCGGCAGCGGCGGCGACAGCGGCGGCGTAAACTATTTGTATAAAGCTTTATACACCAGAAGGTAAAAGCATGATGCTTCATACTTGTATGCAGATACCTTATGTTACGAAGTTTCCGTCTGTCATATGTCCATCGTCTTTGGCCTCATTTTCCGTAATGTATCCGTTTTTATTCTGTAGTTAGTCCCCACTTCGGTTTTATCATGTATATCTATTATATAGTCATTTTATAAAATTTACTGTTTGCAAAATTATAAATTATTCTAAATAATAAGGATGTTCTTGTCCCAAGCAGAAAACCCTGGCCGTGTTAGGCGCAACTTTTTGGAAGTTTTGGTCCTCGGTGCTCTTCAGTTTTGTACTTGCTTTGGCTTTCAAACTTTTTTCATCTGAGCGTCACTGGTTATTCTTGTGTGGACGAGACGCACGTCTGGCGTATTGAATTTTAAGCGTAGTACCTTTTGTTAGCTATTATTCGTGTGTTTCTTTGTCCTATATGTTCTCCCATTTATTTGTATTGTGGTCCTGTCATGTGATGTTGTCGTTTTGGTGTTGTGTTTGACGTTGCCATAAAAGCTGGAGGTTTGGCATGCCACAAACCAGGTTCAACCCACCATTTTTTTCTTAAAATGTCCTGTACCAAGTCAGGAAAATGGCCATTGTTATATTATAGTTCGTTTCTGTGTGTGTTACATTTCAATGTGTGTATTTGTTGTGTCGTTGTTCTCCTCTTGTATTTGATGCGTTTCCTTCAGTTTCAGTTTGTAACTCGGATTTGTTTTTATCTCTATCGATTTATGAGTTTCGAACAGCGGTATACTACTGTTGCCTTTATTATTCATGGTTCAGCGACTGCTTGAAAATACATTACAGTTTGTTTGTCATGTGAATTTCTCACTTAGTACGAGTAATCGGATAATTGTATTTGGTATATGGGTTCCTTGCAACGACTACATGTCCGTCAGAAAGAGTTCGCCTGACCTCGACCTCATATCATTGATCACATATCAAGGTTAAAGTTTGGTGGTCAAGTACAAATATCAGATACTATAAGCAATAGGTCAACTATATTTAGTGTATAGAATGATTGTAAGGTGTATATGTCCGACTGGCAGGTTTCATCTGACCTTGACCTTTATATCATGGTTCATTGAACAATATTTAGTTTTTGTGGTTTGATCTATTTCTCAGCTGCTATAAGCAATAGGATCACTATATTTGGCGTATGGAATGATTGTAAGGTGTACACGTCTGTCTGGCAGGTTTCATATGACACTGACCTCATTTTCATGGTTCATTGGTCAAACTAAATTTTCTATGTTTTATTCAGATTATCAGGTACATTTAGCAATAGTTAACTATATTTGGTGTATTGAATGATTGTAAGGTGTACATGTCTGTCTTCCAGTGTTCATCTGACCTTGACATCATTTTCATGGATCATTGGTCAATGTTAAGGTTTCATGGTTTTGTCAGTTTAACAGATACTTTAAGCAGTGGGTCAACCATATTTGGTGTTTGAAATGATTGTAAGGTGTACATGTCTGTCTGGCAGGGTTCACCTGACCTTGACGTAATTTTCATGGTTCATTGGTCAGTGTTAATTTTTCATGGTTTTGTCAGTTTATCAGGTACATTAGGCAGTAGGTCAACTATATTCTGTTAATGAAATGAACATGTCTGTCTGGCACGTTTTTACCTTGACCTCGTCATTATTATGCAATTATGATTAAAAAAATAAGCAGGCGCGACACTTCAGCATATACACTTTTGTTACCTAATTTGGGCTTTTGTAGGCTGGGATACAATTATTTTTACATGTTTTATATCAATTGAAAGCTGTCAGTGGTGTACACATGTGTAGTGTTATCGGCACACAGAAAAGAACTCCACTCGAACTCTCTGGTGCTAGGGCCTCTTAAACTTGCAACAAGGTTTGAATTTTAAATAAATAAGAAGATTGTGGTATGACTGCGAATAAGACAACTCTCCATCAGGCACTTAATGACACTATAGGTAACCGTACGGTCTTCAACAATGAGAAAACCCCATACCACATAGTGATATATAAAAGGCCCCGAAATGACAAATGTAAAACAATTCAAATGAGAAAACTAACGGCCAGATTAAACGCAAAATTAAAGGCGTCACTGTGACTTTGAGATGTAGAACAGAAATAAAAGCGATGTTCCTTTGCTTCGAGTTTTGTTATGTGCGTGTAAGTATTTTCTGTCATCTCTCATGATTTAATATACCATATTCCTTCTATCTAATTTCAAAAAAACCACCAGAGGTCAACTAAGCCAAAGAGAACTTTAACCTGTAATTGTATTGAAAACTTTGAAATAACAAATAACCTTCAACATTATTTTTTTTTTGGTTTCAGGTCAGATTATGCAGTGTGTCATGTTTATCTTATAGCATATTAACTATTAAGCAACTTTGTTTGACAACTACAATTCCTTCATTAAAAACAATCCCTTGTATTATAAGTAATACACATTTTTTTATTAATTCAATGTAGGTTTTACATTAGAACCAGACATGTAAAACACTATTCTTGTAATTGTTATCTTAAATTTCTTCTACAATGATTAGAAGAACTATATATATATTTAATTATTCCCACCATTTAACGATGTCATCATTGTAATTTCTTTAGATCCTCTCTCAAGAAACTTTGAAAACAAAAAGTTTTTCGTTGCCATTGGAGACAATCAATCTATTTTTATCTCTGTCAAAAAATATTGCTGACGGATAATTTAGACAGTCAGAACTCGTAAGGATTTCTCTATGTTGTTTACCATCATTGGTTAAGACTACAACATTACATGTATACTCTCCAGTTATATACAGGTTTCCATTATGGTCAAATGTAGCACCACGTGGCTGGTTCAGGATGCTTTCGTAATTGAGTTTCCATAGTGTTTCTCTAGAATGATTGGTACATATGACAAAACTTGTGTCATTCGAAAAATATATTTTGTCTTCATAAATCGCTACAAATGATTGATAAGGTAAATTCCCTCTCACGAAATTTGATATTGTATAATCTTTTTTGTTAATTTGATATATACCCATGTTTTCTACAACACAGAACATCATTTCACCAGTACTTGCTATGCTGTAAGGTTTTCCCGGTAGTTTGATAAACTTCACTCTCTTCCTGGTTGGTAAATGAATTATGTTGATTCCACAGTAGTTAGAATTACCTGATGTCACAAGAACATTGTCATTGTCAAGACATATTACATCATATGAGTCGCTATATTTCATTGGAATAGAGGCTAGACAGGACCCATGAACATCCAATAGGCTTAGTTTACTTTCTGAGTAGTGTGTTAAAAGCAAATGTTTATCTGACGTGACACAGAAACCTCGTATTACACCACCATTTGATGATGTCAATGTTTTTATTCGTTTCAATGTGATGTCTTGAATAGACAGTGGTTTTTGAACTGCTAAGAGTTGTGCTTGTTTGTTTTTCCTGTTCCTAAGCAACAACCTCTCTTGCTTTGTAAGAATCTCTACAGAACCGAATACTTTTAGTTCAGTTAAGTAATTACCTATATGTGTATCTACTGCAGATTTTACAAGTATTTGCTGTAAAAGACCATTGTCAAGTAATGACTGCATACTTTTTTCATTTTCTGATATTTTACTATGCATTTCTTTTATTCCGAGAAAAGTTTGGAGTTCTGACGCGTAAATTGAATATCATTCAAGTCTGTTATATTCTTATATATTATGTTTTCAGTTTCGTGAACCAACAATATTGTCCTTCGGATTTTTTCAGTCGTTTGCCTGACTGTTTGTTCGATTTCCGTTTTGAACTTTTCTTCTAGCTTGTCAAGGTGATTATTGGCTAGTAATCTCATTTGACGGATCTCAGAAAGTTGTTTCTCCTTTTCTTCTTCGATATCCGATATATTCGCCTCTCGGTCATTTTTAATTTCTTGAATATTTTCTAGCATATCAATCATAATTTGTTCTAAGTCCTTGTATATTTCAGAGGTTTTAATATCTATCAAAATATCATCTAGCGGAACAGCTCCACATTTCCCATGAAATTTGATACACTTGTAGCAAAAACCGATTTCGTGAGTTGGACAATACAGCTGGTAATTTTCGTTGTGTTCTTGACAACTATGACGAAGTTCCGATATAAAGGGAGGTAATTTCTGGTAATCTTCAATGGGTATCAGCTTATGATTACGTAATAATTTGGCAATGCCGTGATGCTCCTTACATTCTGAACAAAGGGACTGTTCACATTCAGAACACCAATGAGTTGATAGATTTGAAAGATGTCTTAATTCGCAGATATTACAGAAAATGGTATGGTAGCCATTTGTGTTTCTGAAATAAGAAAAACTTAACATATTCAAATATAATAGATGAATTCAAGATTCATAAAAAAAACACCTAATGAGTAATCTCAAATCAATGTCAGATGCAGATTTTATATTGTATTAGAGTGCTTTTTTTATACGAATGTTTTGAGCTGTGATTCATAGATACTATATTCATTGCTATACAGTTGAACGATAAATTAATTATTTTATTATACACACTATAAGAACCCCATTTTGCTTTCATCCGTGGATTAAGGCATTAGATGTACCTAAAGTTACAACCATTACTGTATCTTAAGGTTGAATTTAAGCTCAGATTCTAAACCCTATTATGTATTTGTATATGTTGCCTCTTCCTAAATAAACATTATTATTATTATAATTATTAATGCTATAACGGATGTGAAGGACAATATAAATCTAAGTAATTTAATAATAGTATACAAAAATCAACATATCTTATCTTTTACATTAGTATTAATATTCTTAGGTCATCATTTGTCATAATGACATGAGGTAGGATGGCGCCTTAAACTGGTTGACTAAAACTTGTAACCTGTGGTTAAATCTTTACAAAATGTTACAATTTTCGAAATGGTGTGCTTGATAAAAGTTTTTTTTTTGTAAAAATAAATAATCGAGTTGCTGAATATTTAATTTCAACCAAACACTTTTTATCTGCTTTTTAGATCTAGATGTACATTTTCATTATTAGTGTGTAGTCTATTGATTATAACTGTTGTAGTTTGTTGTTGATTGTGTACTGTATGCATGAATTCTATGTATTTGAGAGCCTCCGTGAAAGTAAGACTTATCCTAATTAAATTTCCCTCTTTAAAAAGAATTTATAAACCTTTTTTATAATAAAAACCAAGAGCCATCAATAGGAATCTGATGAGTCAAGTCTTTTTTCAACTGATTTTTACAATGTGTTCTAATGTTGTGCTATTACACCACTGTCCCAGGTTAGGGTAAGAATTGTGTCAATTCTTCGGTATTTACGTAGAGACAAGATTTATAACATACATTTCGAATATTCCCCGTTGATAAATTTACATATTATTTAGAAACTTAAGGTTCCAACTCCCTAAGGCAATTTGAGCTGTGGTGTATTTGGCTATTCTTGCCAGACCCCTTTTGTTCATACAGCTCCTAACCTGTCTATGTACTTTTACATCCCAGGCTTTCAAATGTTAAGGTTTGGGCGTTCCAGATGAAGGTTAATCCAGAAAAGGTCTTTGGACGCTCGAAACTTATAGTCTTATTTTCATTTTGTGCACTCACAAACACGTTTTTTTTTTAAATCCCGCTATATTTATATGTGTCACTCCCAAAACAAGGGGCTTGTAATCAAGTGGTTGTAGTTGGTTGTCGTCTGTCATGATTGTTCCTATGTTAATGCTGTTAGCTTGAATCAGTCCGTTAGGTTTCCCTTTTAAATCGTTTCAAAATATTTTGAAACTGTTACTTGCCTCTCTAACGCTAGAGAAGTGTAATTGACGGAAAAATATATAATCAAATTAAAAATAAGAAAAATATATTTAAAATGTGAGGTTGTAATTCTTTAATCCTTAATGTTAATGGGCCTTGTTCGAAAAAATGTACATTTTTGACAACTGGCAAATAAAAAAATACAATGTTGAGAAATAAGTGATGTCAATACTTTAACATCATTATAAGCTAAATACAAAATATGCAACCTTAAACTGAACGGTAGGCTTAACAACTCTGTAAAAGTGAGCATGGTGTACCAAGGAGTCCCAATCGCAACGATTTGTTAAGGTTCTACTATGCTAAAAAATTTGAATTTAAAGGTATTTATCTGCAGGAATCTGACAAAAAATGATTTTATACGGTGTAACTATTTGATTTGCAATTTTAACTACTAGAAATATTTACAAATGTTCACTGTGTAACGATATATGTCCCCTATGAAACGCTCTTGGTCCACTACGTCTTCTTTTTTTAAAGAAATGTTGACCTCAAATAAAAAAAACACGTGGTGTTTATGAAATAAAATGTATTGTATAAAACAATAATCATAAAAACATGTATCTGAGAAACCGCGTGTATTAACAACAATGGCTGCTAACAAGTAAATACGTCCACTGCACAACGGTCCACTACGCAACGTTTTCGTTGCGAAGTGGACACAACCACGTTTTTTATTATTTTAGATCAACATTTCTTTAAAAAAAAAAAGACGTTGCAAATTGGACAAGTAAAAAAGTACGCTATCAATAGGACTTACCAATCGATTCAATGCAGACGAACTATATCATCAGCGTCCATAGATGACCACCATTTTACTAAATGAAGTTGTATTAGTGGCAAGTAAAAGGAAAGACTACAATTTCAATAAGAAAATAATTATAGTTTTGCCAATTGTTTGTTGTCGTTGCGAAGTTGGACATTTTTTCATGGACGCCACTTAAAAATTACTAGCACAAATCTATTTGAAATTATCTAAATATTTGAATACTTTTTGTAATGTTCAGGTGTAGCTCTATGACATAACATTGAAAAAGGCGCAAAAAAAGATTGGTATTTAAAATAGTATGACATTTTGAAAATTTGAATAAACTTTCAAATGTGGACAGAGCGTTTTTGCTGTTTTTAAGCCTTTTGGTCGGATATTTTCAGAGTCCTTACCACAAATCAGACAAAAAGTGTTGCGGTTGTCTTTAATAAGTACAATTTATAGACTGAGACAAATTTATATGATTTTATTACAATTTAAGCCCTGGACAGAAAAAGTGGACATTTTTTTGAAAAACGCCCCAATACGAACTATCGTTTCCAGAGTGCTAACCATTTACAGAAATTATGTCTCAAACGGCTGTCAATACGTAGGTTTACGTATATTATTATCTATAAATAGCTTTTTATCACAAAGACTCATAGGTTCCAACTTTCAACCACTTCAATGCTTATTTTATAATACTCATTTGTAAAGCTTTTCGATATTGAAAGAGTTTTGCAGTATATAGGGACCTTCTCTCTTTTTACTGATAGTAGTCCCAGCTTTATATAAGAACAGTAATTTATCTCAAATGCATGCATTTGTCGTCGATACAGGGAGAGTAACTTATGACACTCTGTTACCTTAATGAAAGATTTTATACATTTAAATTAGAAATATTACAAACACAAACAAACCTCCTGTCCTATCGCCTTAGTTGATTTCTTGTTGATCACGTACGCGGAAGTTCGATACACCAACAAGTTTTAGTATTTTAAAAAGCTTGTCTGACCCCAGCATGGCAGCCCAATTATGACATATCTAAAAAAATATCGTAATTACGGATAGAATATGTTATGACGATTTTTGAAATTGGTTATGACGTATTTAATTGTTATCACGGGCTTTCTGGTTTTTTTATGTGATGCCGAATTATCTGCAGTTTGTGATAATTTCAAATTCTAATTCTAATTCGTAATTTATTATTTGATAAAATATTTACGATGAAAATTTTAGATTCGAATTTGAACTTATAATCCATAATTACGATTATTTTACCACAAATTTCACAATTGGTTTTCATAAATAGTACAGAATTCGTTATCAAAATATTTAGAAATTCTCTTAAAATATCGATTTCTAATGACCGTAAAACAGATTTTTAATTCCTTTATTTCATTTTAAAATTCAAGGTAGATTTGGGGATTCTGAATAAAAAAACGATAGATATCTTCAAACTTTAAAATGCTATTACAAAACTTTTTTTCACAAGTTGGGCTAAATCGTCCGATTTTGTAAAAGATTATACATAGAAAAACAGCTTTTGTATAAATATATATACAATTAAACGATAGATTAAAAAATATACGAGAAGATAAGCTTTGTAATGTGCTTTCAGAAAATAAAAAGAAAAGTTAGGGTAACTTTTTTCTTTTTCTTGCTACAAAACAAAATAGGTATTTTCACTGTTCATTCTTTTATAACATTTAATTATCTGCGTTTATTTCCCCTTATACGACTAGGTAAACAAAAATTAGAATCAAACAAAAAGTATTCTGTATTTGTAAATAGACAGTCGTTATCATAAGATAAATCACGTTATCTTATTAATTTCCTGAAACGTCGTATAAATGAATTGCATTCCTATCTAATAACTTTTCCTATTTTCATTTAAGATCCAGACGGATTGTTAACTGCTATTTTACAATTTAAGATGACGGAAAACCCCAATCTACCCTAATTCGTAATAATGAATTATCTTTTTTTGTTACGAATTCAAACCCCGTTATGACAAAATAAAGAATTCGAAAGCATTATTAGCATCGTAAACTTCTTTAACGCTACCTCTTTTGTATTATGAGACTAAGAATCTACGGATGCTGACAAAATTCCAGGTAAATGACACGTATAGAAGATACCGAACAATTATGTTTAAGAGCAAATAAAAAATTGAATCCCAGATGTTAATCATGAAGGAGACAAAGTCAAAGCAATTGGACTGTTGTACCTAACTGAAACCCGTAGTCTGACCAATTTCATTGATATTTACCAAACATCTTTGCATTTGAAAAAAAAAAAATGATGAGCAATGTGAAAATTTTAAAATGTTTTGGTTTTCAGACATAGTCACATAAAAAAAGTCTTCAAAGATACCAGGCTAATGATTGTTTACGGTAGACGTGCGTTTCGTCAACAAAAGACTCATCAAGGACGCTTGAATAAAAAAAAGCTAAAAGGCCGAATAAAGTTGAAGTTGAAGAGCACCGAGAACCTAAAATTCCGAAAAGTTTTGCCAAATACAGCTTATTGTATTGACTGAACTGGTATGGGTTTGATTTATTCGAATTGCTGCAGTTGGAACTGCAGTTACCAGTACTGAGAAATTCTCATTAACGCAGATTCTTTGTGATTGACCAAACAAAAATGGCAAAGTGATTTAGTCACTACAACGCAAGAGAAATTTTAAGCTGAACATTTAAAAAATTGATGTGCAGAGTCATATAGAATTTTGATTACAAAATTTAGAAATACAGAAATGTAGTGACAATAAATTACCTGCCCAGTAAACAATGAGAAATTAACTCTTATATATGTTTTGCACGTTCTCCTCTAGGACGATACTGGTTATAAGTTCAATAAAACGTTTTGGTAAAATGTAATAAATGAAAAGTTAAAAAATTAAACCCAAAATAACCATATCATATAATGTCCATCTTGATGTAGCAATTAATGAGAATAGCAGGCTATTATATAAATAACACATAGCTGATAGGGCGATAGGACAGATTATTACAGCTAAAACATTGTTAACCGAGGAGATATGTGTTATTCGATATTATATGATACTTAATGTTCGTTTTTTTTTGTCTTTTAAATCGAAAGCATAAACTATGACGTCTTGTATAGAGACATGTTTTTCCGATTATCTGCCTTAATTTGTGACGCGACTCCTAGGCGTCGTCGTAGTACGATCGCCATTACAACCGTGAAAAAAATATAAACAAGATATACATCTATTGCCCAGATCGCATATAATTAAATGTAAACACAAGAATGTGAAGTCGTACTTGACCTCGGCAAAATTATAAGTGCTATAAATAATAAAGTAATAAGATAAGGATTCTAAGTGTATTTCAGGACAGGTGTCGTGTCCCTAAAATATAACTCAGTGTATTTGACTACTGAACTGTCGGAATTTCGGGTTGTCGGATTATAGCTACGCTTTCGTAGGTTCTACTAAACTATTTGATTACCAAGACCTTTGAAAAATCCTTTCTACTGTATAAAATTTTATAATTCATGCACAGAATAATCTACTGAGGAAAGTTCAAATCAACAGAAGCCTGTATACGTCAGTCTTATAAATAAAATAAAGTGAATGTTTTATACAGAATTCAGATGCACTGTAGGAACTTCATCAGACATCAGTTTTCGAGTAAAATCGGGAGTTAGACAAGGCTGTGTTATGTCTTCCCTTCTATTCATAATAGTTGTCGATTGGGTAATGAAATCCACCATAAGCATTCACAACACAGGCATCAGGTGGACTCTCTTTAACTACCTAGAAGATCTGGACTATGCAGATGATCTGGCCTTACTGTCACATCTAGAAACACACATGCAAGAAAAAACCACTAAGTTACAAAAGAATGCAAGTATGACTGGATTGAATATCAACATCAAGAAATCAGAAGTCATGCCTCTTAACATCTCAGAGCCTCCTGTAATAGATTTAAACGGGACACACCTGGATTGCACTTCATCTTTCACCTACTTGGGCAGCATAGTAACATCTGAAGGAGGAGCAGACAAAGACATCAGAGCCAGAATAGGAAAAGCAAGAACTGCATTTTTAAAACTAAGTCACATCTGGAAGTCAAGCAACATCAGTAAGAACACCAAAATTAGACTATATAACAGTTGTGTACTAGCAGTGCTGCTATATGGGGCTGAATGCTGGAGAATGACAGAAAAAGACATCAACAAGCTCTCCAGTTTTCACAACGGTTGCCTTAGAAAGATCTTAAGGATATTCTGGCCACGTAAGATCACCAACAAAGACCTCCATGAAACAACAGGATCCAACAGCATGGAGACCTTATTGACGCAAAAAAAGATGGAGATGGATTGGCCATGTTCTTAGAAGACCAGCAGAGGACTTGACCAGAGTTGCCCTAAGATGGACACATGAGGGGAAAAGAAAGAAAGGACGCCCCAAAACAACTTGGAGAAGAACAGTTGAAGCTGAAATGAAAGAACATGGAATCAGCTGGGGCGAAATAGAAAATAAAGCACAGAACAGAGATGAGTGGAAAGATCTAGGCCTTGCCCTATGTGCCTCCGGGCATAATAAGGACTAGGTAGGTAGGTAGGTATATGGACCATTAAGACAATGCTTTTAGGGAAGGGCCCTTAATATTTAGTTTTGCTGGGATTTGTCTATGAATGCCAGGGGCAGATTCAGGCGGAGGCGTGGCGGGCGTGCCCCCCCTAAAATTTGCAAAGCATAGGTTGTCCTCAGCTTAATAAAGAATATTTCGATCTCGGCGAATTTATGTTTGCGTCCCCCCCCTCCCCCCCCCCCCCTAACCTAAATTCCTGGATCCGCCCCTGGATGCAGCTGTTTGTAGTACCTTTAAGTTTTTCAGCAAGAACTGCACTCAGGAATATCACAAGCCGCTTACTTTTCGAAATATGAAAGCGCCGTCCCAAATGAACAAATATCCTCACCCCACCCCACCCCCTTTTCAAAATCCTTGATCCGCATCTGATGTGTGGATCTTCTATACAAAAAGAGGCAGATTTTTATTTTTTATAACTTTTTCAGCAGTATCCATAGTAAAATAAATCAGAAAATGAAAGAAATACAAATGTAAACAGAAAATCGATAATGTTTTGATCAATACACGTGCGTTATTTTTAACGGTTGTAATGGCGGATCGGTCACGTGAGAGATTAATGGATGCGCCCATGTTTTCAAGGTCAATTACAGATAAACCCGTCTATATGTACAACCATCCGTATTAAATAAAGCGCACAACTGATCAATCGTCTCCGTGAAGGGTATTAGAATATAAGCCATGTGAAAGAGTAAATTATCATCCTCGTATTAATCAAAATCTGGCATTTGACATGAATTATAATAAATGAGTTTGTATACATTAGAACTAAAGTCACTAAGCAAATTCAAACGGACGTCGACCGATATTGACATTTAATGCAAATAATTCGAGAAGACAGCACGTTCATGTACAAACATCGAGAGACCTGTTCTTTATATTCTTTTAAAATACTGTTGAACAGGCATAACCTTTAAATCGCTATTTTCACACAAACACAATATGTAGCATTAAAAGTTCCCGTGACAATGACGTGCCTAAAAACTTAGTTGTAAAAACTTGGTAGATTTTCGATAAATTGTATTATGCTAACGATTATGTGGAACACTGTAAAATCAATCATGAAAAGAACTTTAGGTTAAGTATGTACATGATTTCTTTCCATTTTTGTTATCAATATGCCTCAACTATAAAACATTTTTTTTAAATGCCAGCATAACAACATTCTAATGTATTTATCTATAAGAAAACAAGACAAAATGCAAGTTGCCGTAATGTTTATGATATTTCATGGCCATTTGAATTCACACATTCATTCATTCTTTCTAAAAGATATTGATTTAACTTAAATTGTATGGAATTTCCTTTCATGGTGTCAGAAAAGTACATTATAACGATTATTGAAATC